GAGTTTTGACTCTGGAAAGGCACCTTCGCAGGAGGCCTGCTGAGATCCCCTGTAGGGGGAAGCTGAGACTGTGAGGCCCACCAAGTGCAGCTATACTCACAGGCTTCTCCTATGGTGGATTTATGGAGAGCGGGGGGATGCGTTCTAGTCTGATGTATACGTGCTGCTCCTGGCTGAGCCACTTTTCAAGAAGGCACACAGTGGGGTATTTGCATCAGGCAAGCTTTCCAGGGCTCAGCCACTTGTCACCTACAATATGCAACGTGCCCCTTCTTGGGCCAGCCCTCCTGTGTGTGGCTACCAGTTTGCCAGGCCTCCAGCCAGGGCTGTAGCATAAGTTGTTACCATTGGATACATTGTGACATTGAAGGGATTTTTAAGACCGTGAGTTTTTGTTTCTACCTGTTTCTAGATGTTCAAAGGGCATTAGATTATTTATCTTTATGCTTTTTGACAAGTCCGGAACAGAGGAAAAGGAATTAGTTGTATCTTTAGTTAGGGACAGTATTTCTCAAGGATATAATGTTCTCAGGTGGAATTCCAAACGGGTAGACCGGGGTGGGGAAAGTTTTCATGTTAGAAAGCTGAATTAGTTTAGCTGTAATCAAATAAGGTTGTATTCAAGAAACTTCAATTAGATATACTTAAAAGTGTACACTATGGGGTAGCGCCTGTGGCTCACAGGAGTAGGACCCTGGCCCCATATACCAGAGGTGGTCAGAGGTGGTGGGCTCAAACTTGGCCCTGGCCAAAAACTGCAAAAAAAAAAAAAAAAAAAAAAAAGGGGTACATTATTTTGTAAAAATCTAACTACTATGTATTTAATAATTTCAAAAAACCAAGAACCATTTGTTAATTTTAAAGTTTATTAACCTTTTTAAATTTTTATTTATTGAGACAGAGTCTTACTTTGTTAACACCCTCAGTAGAGTGCCATGGTGTCATGGCTCATAGCAACCACAAACTCCTGGGGCTCAAGCAATCCCCTTGCCTCAGCTTCCCAAGTAGCTAGGATTACAGGCGCCCGCCATTTTTTAGATATAAAGCCTGGCTATTTTTTAGAGACAGGGTCTTGCTCTTCTTCAGGGAGATCTTAAAATCATGAGCTCCAGCAATCCACCCACCTGGGCCTCCCTGAGTGCGAGGATTATAGGTGTGAGCCACCAGGCCTGGCCTTAATTAACCTTTGCTGTGATCTTTGTTGGAAAGGATTTGAATACTTGCTTGCAGCGTGGAGGTCCGCCACGTCAGTTAATTTTTAGATGGGTACTAGTCCTTTGTGACTGGTTAGGTCATCTTTATTTGAGTTAGGTAAGGCAATGTAGGTTCCCAGCAACAATGGCTGGAAAGCAAGAAAGCATTTTTCGTGCATGTTGCTGAAGCTACGGGAAAAAAAATTTTTTTAATCTGCATTTTTCCGTATTTCAACTGGATCTTTCTCAGCGTCAAACGCTATCTTTAAAACGTCATCTACTGAGAGCTCAGTCAATTCCATCTGTAGTTCTTTGGATGCCTGGGTGATAACAACCAGGGGAGGCTGAAATGCTAATTTTAGTGCGAAGTCGTGATTCCCAAAGTCAGCGAACCTTTCATTGTATTCTCCAATTAGTAGGCCTCTAATAGCTGTATATTCTTTTTTTTTTATTTTATAGAGGTATTTATTATATTATACAGAGTTATTTGGGTTAGAGTTGTTTGCATTTTTTTTTTTTTTGAAATAAAGTCTCACTCTTGCCCCAGGCTAGAGTGCATTGATGTCTCCCTGGGTCACAGCAACCTCAAACTCTTGGGCTCAGGCAGTCCTCCTTCCTCAGCCTCATGATTAGCTGGGACTACAGGCACCTGTTACAACACCCAGCTAATTTTTCTATTTTTAGTAGAGACAGGGTCTCTTCTCAGGCTGGTCTAGAACTCTTGAGCTCAAGGAATCCCACCTCTGCCTCCAAGAGTGCTAGGATGACAAGCATGAGCCACTGCACCCAGGCTTGTTTGCATTATTATTTTTTTTTATTGGATAGTAACTATGTACATTAATGCACTTCTGGGGTACAGTGTGGGGTTT